TTGCGCACAACATCTGCCGCACTTAAAGGATACCAAGTTGAGCGACCTGGAGAAAAAACAAGGATTATGTGTCCTCAAAAGTTGTACCAATGTAACAATGAATTCGCCTCATTACGAGAAAGGGGCTGAATGAACTGAAAAAAATAGGACTGTATCGAGCCAAAATCAGCAATTCAAATGACCCCTTCATTTGAACGTGAAGGATTTCCTCTGATGACGTCACCACGGCGCCTTTATTTCCCTAGTGAACCAACCTGAGTAGTAAAGGAATCTTGGTAGGAACAGCGTAGACCCTCCGAAAAATAAGCAAAAGTAATTGTCCAATATCTCAAAAACAGGTTTACATTTCTAAATGAAATTTGGTAGATATTCATTTTTGTTCAATTTGAACCATACGACACCACTTTTATGCAATTCAATTACTTTTTTGAAGGTGGGAGGGTCCCTTTAATATTCATACTAATAAACCAATAAATACACATTCAGCAATGCACTTTAGTATGCTTTAAATCCTTTCCAGACATTTCGGCTTTCCATATACCGGATGAAGAAAGGAACAATATAACATCCCAAAGTTCTGCCTTCAATAATTTAGAGCTCCACAGAAAAGAGCGTGTGGGCGGAAACGCGAACCATGTGGCCAATGGGTGGGCGATTTGGTGCTGTGGCTATGGTCAACATATAAAATGCTTGTGTGAATAAACGGTGGAAAAAAAGAGCGTGTGGACCGGACGCAGCAACTGCCAACTTATATCCAATTCCAGCCTCCGTGCATAAGCTCGTGGGCCTCTTAGACTCAGTAAAAGGCTGCGCTGTTGGCATTACGCTCTAGACATATAACTTCTCCAAAAAAGGCGCAGAGATTTAAGTAAAAAAGTTTTTGATACTACCGTGTTTGTTGTGCTCAGCTGTGTGAAAAGCAATAATTTAAAAGAATCAAGTATTGACCTCGAATCAAGGTCAGGACGAAACAAGTCAGGTAAAATCCATGCAAAATGCACATACATGTCAGATATATGTAGATGGTTGAAGTAGGCCATATAGTGCTTCTTCTATTTGCAGCTCATGTTGGGTTCACTTTTGTGTGGTCCATGTGGGTTCATGGACCATACCATCCGACATTGTCAGGATGGTATGAAATTACAATTTATACCTTGAGGCAGCCGTAGATCAGCCGTAGAGCAGCCGTAACCGACCTGACCTAAGAAGATCAATATAAAAATTCTAAGGCATACAAGTTGTAGGTAGAGACTCTAGAGCGTATACTGCTTCTTGAAGTTTCCGTCTCTCTGCGTCAGATTTGCTGACACTGCAGGCGCTGCGAGGCTGCGACAATGTTTGAACGGTGCAGAGAGATGAAGTGCAGACTTATGTAATAATTCTTTCCCGAAAACTCTGTTAGCGTCATAGCTATAAGATCTGACGATAATCGGTTTTCTACATACCCACCGGCCGAGGGGGAGGTACGACCCCTTCGCCGTCTCGCCCCTGGTGGAGCTAGCGCGTCGTGGAAAATACGAGCGTGTGCGCCGCTATGAGACTCAGAGCTTGATGCCCGATTTGAAGCTCCGAGGTCAACCGGTGATCTCTGAAGTCAGGTCAAGTGCTCCAAGGCACGGTTACGTTTTTGGTGAATAACTTCGCAAATAACGGCCGCAGAGCCGCGATTTTGGCATGTTCGCCTCGTTCAGGCGCGTCGAATGATATACTTTTTGTTTGGGTGAGGTCAACTTAGGGTGTTGACCTCGGGTCACGGTTAGGTCAGCGCCCCCAGGTCACGAACTTAGTCGAAGGAGGTCATGTCGCATATCATTCGATTTGGCAGGTCTTCCTGAGTGCACACAGAAAAATATTAACACCGTTAGCGGTGTAATTGCACAGTACATATCTGAGCACTTGAGGAAAGTTAATTTAGTCCCTTCCCCGCTTAACCCTAGAACGCCTAGGGGGGGGGGTTGTATCAACCCCCCCCCCTGAGGTTTTTTCGAAGTGCACGCTAAACGGCTTGTCGTAGCGGGCTGAAATTTTCAATACCCTTTGGGGCAACCTTTGCGCATCTTTTGCCGAAAAAAAATTGATCGGGTCATGTCAGGTCACGGAGTTATGACGTCATAAGAGGTACAGCCTCCGGCGGGATTTTCACAAACTGAGTGCCAACGCCTGAGGTTTCCTGCCGGTGGTACGGACATCGGTTGATGGATCGTGATGAAACGTCCCATGCATGTTGGGGCAAGTATTGGCTATCATATGGTATAAAAAACTTGACCGGGTCAGGTCAGGTCACGGAGCTATGACGTCACAAGAGGAACAGCGTCCGGTACTATTTTTGAAAAGCGCCCGAACCACTATTTTGCTAATTCTTGTCACCTCAATGGGAATATGCAGCAGTATTAGCTTCTATAGGGAGCAAATGGACCTCCCAAATCCAAAAATACAATCAGATTTCAAAAATTTAAATTTTGATTTTTCGAATTTCTGCCGCCGACTGTGACCTTGCCGACTTCCGGCGCTCCCAACGCGCCATTTTTAGAGCTAGGGAAACGAAATACATACCAAACGATAGAGAATTGATCAAGGAACACGATAGTGAAGGTTTCAAGTCGATATCTCCCACCGTTTTGCCACAATCGCCGCCGAAAGTTGAAAAAAGTCTATTTTTCCGAAAATTTGACCTTTGACCGGTCAAAAGTAGGTCAAATGTTGACCTAGGACCAAAAAATATGCCACCAATCGCGAGATCTCGTTGAGAGCAATCCGTTGGTTTTTTCCGCTAAGCTCTACGACCTTCCGTTTCGAAACGCCAGGGGGGGGTCGTAACAACCCCCCCCCTGGTCGTTCGTGTTATGAGAAATGGCCTGGTCGTGCGAGGGTTAAAATACTCGCGCTTCTAAATGAACACCAGGAAGAAGGTAATAGAACACTGTTAGGAGGGTTGGGTGTTTTGCTATATGTAGTAAAACACCCAACCCTCCTAACAGTGTTCTATTACCTTCTTCCTGGTGTTCATTTAGAAGCGCGAGTAATTTAAGCGGGGAAGGGACTAAATTAACTTTCCTCAAGTGTTCAGATATGTACTGTGCAATTACACCGCTAACGGTGTCAATATTTTTCTGTGTGTGGTTTTCCCGACTCGCTAGCTCAATTTGATCGGAAGTTATTGACAAAAAAAACTAATATGACCCTAATGACGTCATAAATGACTTCACGCAAGGTCAACATTGCAAAACTGACGCATCGAACCTTGCAAGGAGTGCATAAAATCACGATTCATTGTGCTCGAGATAGTTGGAGATCGTTCCCGGCGCCAGAATAGCAGTTTTCATTTTTCCCTATTGACTTATAATGTGAGGTGACGAAAGTGACCTGAACTCATATGACCTTTAGGAAATATCCGAGACATGCAAGTGGTGAGACTCCTAATGGGTACTAAGTCCTGCAAGTTTCATTTCCCTGTGAAAGCTCCTCTGACATTTTTTTAATTTAGTCTTCCCGGCATGCCTAAGGCAACCACCAGGGAAGGGGAAATTGTGAGGACGTTGCGAAGTAGCGACATCTGAAGACCGTGCAGAGGTTCACTTAGGACGTCATAGGTCAGTGACCTGACCTGACCCGAAAATGTGGTTGGTGTCAAAAGATTTGGCTTGAATCAAAGGTCAGGTACGCCAAGTTTCAGCTCTCTATCGCCGGCGTGTTCGGAGCTATCGCGAAAAAGCCTATGGGTGGGGGGGGCGGCACCCGACCCCCCCCCCCCCCTCGGCCGGCGAAGGTTAAGGGTCATTACTCGCATGTGATGTGCAAAAGGAATAAATGACAAGTTTTGCCGGAAACAAGTTTAAAACTGATGTTTTTTAGATATTTGAAAACCGACCATTGTATTAAGTCGCCCGGAGACAGCGATGCGACATGGGGCACTAACTCAGAGACTGCGTTTCTGGATATATAGCTAACACACCACGCTCGCAATGGTTGCATACTCAAGAGGGTATCATCTTTTTTTTGGTAGGCTCACGTGCGTGCATATTGTTTGTTGGCTCTGTAAGCATTGCTCATTATATTGATGGCTTGTAATTGCATTTATATTACCATGTTGCCTATGTCGTTTTGTTTTGTGCGGATCTTTTGGTTTATTGACACTATAACTTCAGAACAATGCCATAAGCACTAATATTTACTTCAGGGCCATAAGTGACGCACAAACGCATGCATATAGTAAAGATTAGAATGTGCTTTGACGATGCTGTTAAATGTGTTTTGCTAACAAATTGTCACGTTGACCCACAATGATAAGCGCTGCTTTGGCTAAGGATTACTGGCCATCAGTTCTTGTGTTGGACGAGAGCGGGCAGCTCCAACCGCTCTGCATGTATATGTCCTCTCTGCATATGTCCTCCATACAGGTGTTGAGAATGTTGGTGACTCCCATGGTTATTAGGTCTTCCACTGAACTATCAGACGAAGGAGGGTCACTGCACTTTACTTCGTTCATGTGTCCCTTTCATATGTCCGGCTGAATGGACACCATTCCGCCCGGTCACCGGTTCTCCAAGTTCATAGAGCTGTGCAAAGGTCGGCTGCTCCCTCAGCTCCGGTTCACATGCCCTCCCATGTATTGGACGAAGGGTGGACCCTCTAACTGGCCACAGCAGTCCTTCATTCGTAGTGCTGTGCAAAGATGGGACACTGCTCGGTCGCAGTTCCGTCCTATGGTTGTGCAAAGGAACGCCACTCTGCACGGATCTTCCATGTGTTGAGCGAAGGCGAAGTTCTCTCCGGTCTTAGGTCCTACGTGTATTGAACGAAGGCGGGTCATTCCGTCCGATCCCAAAGATCCTTCAAAGTGTTGTGCGAAGGTGGACCACTCGCACCCGTCCACCCATCATCCCAGTGCTGGCCGACATCGGTCCGCGTCCCGGCGCGGCCCGGCGCGTGCCCTCAGGCCAGGTCGTCGGGAAAGGACTCGGTCGACGGAGAGACAGTATAAAGGCAGCCGGCGTCGGCCCAGAGGCATCAGTGTCAACCCGCGGTGGACTGAACGAGACAAGGTGAGCGGCGGCGAGAGCCAGCGGCCCGGGACGCGGCCGAGGGACGTGTGCATCCACAGCTGGATATTCAGTGTGAGAGGAGCCCAGCGACATCTACTCAGTGCGTCCTCAGTGAACCGGTGGCTCCTCCGACTTGGTGACGATTCTCGTTTGTGCGAGTTGGAAACAACACATCATCATATAAGATATTTCGGGTTACAGTAGGTTGTTTGGCAGATCGTTTACTAAGAAAAAAAGCTCCTTGTATATCCCAAAAATCGAAATGGATCTTTTTAACCCTACTTTTATCAGGAAAAAGCAAATAATACCTCTATCAAGTATGAATCGTCTTGTTTTTGGTGGCTAAAATTAGACTTTTCGACTAAATATTTGTTCATTAAAATAACAATGGGGCCGTGCAGTTATACCTATATCTAGCACAATACTGCTTTCTATGTCAAATGCTTCGGAAAATTCTGTTTTCGAGATTTTTTTACGAGACTTCCGTAAGAACGTTTCCGCCATTTCAACATAAAATATGTACTCGTATTCCTATAACTACGTCAACTTATTATGATTTTTACACTGCTTCTCCGTGGCAAAGTGGTCTTCAAGATATATAAGTACATTCAATTTTGAAAACGTCCAATGAAAAAAAACGTTTATGAAAACACCGTTGATTTTTTCTCAATAGGTAAATACGTTTTTCTTCGAGAAAGTTAAAAAACAACAAAATAGCCAGTAGGTTATTTATTTAATTTTTTTTTTTTATAAAAGCACTCCACCCACGTACCAGCAGTGCCAACGTACGTCACCCAAAACCGGTAGATCTTAATTAAGTGGATTTGCGTAATTAAGTACATATATGAAAATTTCAGGTGGAAAGTATTTAATTAAAAAGTATGTGTATAAGATCACTTTAAATCTGTCAATCAGTAATATAATCAGTTTTATGTCTTTTACGTGTATAAGACGAACGACTTACTGCGCCCGCTTAGAATAAAACCGTTTTAAGCTCAAAATCATAAAATCTATCGGAAGCTTCAGTTAGAAAATAAAATAGTTGTTATTTATATTATTTTTTAACGTCGCAGTCCTCCATGCTCACTCTTCCTTGCAATTGGTCTCAGCTTCAGTTTCAGCTCACACAATTTTATTGGAAATCCGAGAATTTTCCATATTAAATTTTAAATTTCGAGGTGAGCTCAGGCATCGAGCCATAAACAGAGATGTCACTTTCGTTTGAAACTTTGCGGTGTTTAGTGGGCTCAGCAGACCGTTTCTTTCATCCAGCTTATTATACGCGTGAAATTCCGATTCAAGTGTGGCTGGGAAAATCCCCCATCCCGATTAATGTGTTACTGGGAACTAATCATGAAAAGAAATAATAACATCTGCACTCGAATGTGTTCAGCCGGCAGTTCAGCCGATCTTGTATGTGGAGGCCATTGCTGCAATGCTCAGTCCAGATCAGTCCATGAGAGATCACAGTCTCCAATTCGCGCCTCTCCTTCTCCTGGCCATATCTGGTGCATGTTTTTAGTAACACAAGTTTGTTACTTTGCAAAAGAACAATAGCTCGAAGGCACGGATCGAGACATTTGTCTCACTGGCAAACTGTCAGTAAAAAAGTCTTTTCGCAAATTGATTGCATTTGCATTATGATGCGGAGCTTCTATCTGTGGTTATTTTGGCATAGAATGCTTGATCTGCTAGAGTTCAGATGTAACGGACAGCGGTACCAGTTTTTGCTACCATCGGCCCATTACTGCAATCACAGTCACGTCATCAAAATGATTCAATTGACCGCGACATGATTGATCTGTGACGTTTTTAAGGTTCCCATGTGCATATCTCGCCATATCTCGCGACTCTGAGGAAGCGCTTCAAATCGAGGTATGACGACATATTTCCGATCTCCCCAGCTCCGTTTATGCCTCAATCGCTGAGTCCATGTCCCTCTGCCTTCTTACTGTCTCTGTCCAACGAACGGGGTGAAAGTGCATTTCCCAGTCTCGGAAACCAGTGGTTGAGAGCATTTGACCGCCCCCGGGGTGTCGTGCATCCTGCACTTGACGGCGGCGAAAGCGGCGCCCCCTCCACTCGGAGTCGATCTGTTGGGTGACCCCGTGCCAACTGATTGGTGACCTTAGGCCAGGTCAGGTCACACCCCCGCCGCCCGCGGTCGTTTACGGCTGCAGTCGGAGCCATGACAGTGGCATTCATCGTGCATTGGTTGAATGCCTGAGTATTGTCATCGCTTTCTCGTCGAGCTGGAACTCTAAAGGGTCGCTTCCATTCGGCTCTCTCAGTCATGTGCGCTTGGGCAGCCTTCGCTAAGTGATGAGAGGACCCTCAGTACAATTAATGTCATGTTTTCATTAATGTGCTGGTCTATCGATCAAAAATGTAAGCGACATCGTACCCACTTTATGTCCTTCTCAATCATCTTTTGACGCGCAATGTGCCCGTCTGCATGCCGAGACTTTCAAACTCTCGCTCATGAATACGTGATTTCATGACTGCCACGGCACGCCCCCTCTGACAACAAGCGGTCATTATTGGAGCGAGGGTGCCGCTCGCCGGCGAGTCATTACTGTTGATGCAAGACTCCTCCAGGAAAACAGAGTCGGTGCCGTTCGCTGTTCGGTGCTGATGGTCGTACGTGGCCGTACCTTCTCACTTGGGCCATCGCTCACACACTTCCCGCAGTTAGGAGCGCGTGGACACACTGAATGACGCAACCCTCCCGGGCTGATTAGGGACTCTAGGGAGGGCTGTGAGAACACTGCGCTTCAGGCCGGCAACATTACGGCAGTACTTTCAATAGATAGTTTTAATGTTCCTCGTGCTCACGCTAAACGTTATGAATTGAATGTCATTCATCTGTGCATTTCCTCATTCCAACGGCACTGTTATAGCAGTCCGATTACGAAAAAATGCTGGAAGTAATTTTTGTAGCATTTATGTACTTAAGCTCGTAAATTGCAACCTTCTTTAGCGAACGTCATGATCCATCTACGATTTCATACAAGTCTGTGCCTAAAGTAGCCAGGTGCAGCTAAATCGCACCGTCCTCGAATCAGAGACCGTCAACTCTTACTCTTGAGGACCGCCTCAAGAGACTGTCTCGTGACTGTGCGGCGCGCTCCTGCGCCCACCGCCGAGCGGCCGCTCGCTAATGACGCTTCCCACGGGCTCGCGTGAGCTGCTCCACACCGCACGCCGCTGTCCGGCGCCACAGGACGGCCGGTGATGTAACCGAGCTACTCGGCTCGCAGTCACGGACCGGAAAATTGGGCTCAGACCAATCGAGCACTGCCGGCAACCGTCTCCGCTGGCAGCGCTAACAACTCCGGGCGGTTAGCGAATGCCCACGATTTACCAACTCCTCTTAATTGGTTTGTCAGACCCTCCCTATAATTGACAGTCCATTCTAGTTTTATATGGTTAGGCTAAGCCCGAAAAACGCGTATACATGTCCTTGTCTGTCCCTGCTCTCCCGGTAGGAGAATCCCCTCCCGCTTGTCCGACTTTTCTGCCCTCTGCAACTCCTCTTTCCAGGTCTGCTAGACCCTCTCGCTGTAACTTACGAACTCTCTTTCCGAGTCTGACACCCTCGCCCCCGGTCTGACACCATCGCCCCTGGTCTGACACCCCTCTTCCCCGGTCTGACACCCCTCTCCCTCCCCTCTCTTCCTCAGATGCTGCGTCACGTCGCTCTGGTGTGCCTCGTGCTGGCCGTCTCCGCCAAACAGGTGGAGAAGCGCCAGATCAACCAGAACTACGGCGCTCCGGCCGCTGCTGCCGCCGCCGCTCCCTCCCAGGGCTACGGTGGCCCCGGCGGTGCCGCCCCGGCTCTCGATAGCTCCTTCAACGGTGTGGGCGGCGGCTTCGGCGGCGCTGTCGGTGGTGGATTTGGCGGCGGCGCTGCTGCCGGCGGCAGCGGTGCCAAGTGCCGCGACGAGACCAAGTACATCCTGACCTGGACCAAGGCCGTGATCCCGGTGACCGTGTACGACACCCGCACTGAGTTCCTGCCGACCACGCTCTACAAGTACGTCACTGAGACCGAGTACTACCCTCAGACGGTTGTCCAGCTGGAGACCACCACCCGCGCCGGCGGCTCCGAGTACCAGGAGGAGACCAAGATCGCCTACCGCACCAACACGGTGGTCATCCCGCAGGTAGAGACCATCACCTCCACCCTGGTCTTCACCGAGGACGAGCACGAGACGGTGACCGAGACGGACACCTTCACCCAGACCCAGGCGCAGCAGTACCCGGTCGAGGTGACGGTCACCAGCACTCAACAGATCCCGCAAGTGCAGACCTCTGTGACCACCGAGTATCAGACCCAGTTCCAGACCCAGTACGTCACCAGCTCGTACGAGGTGGTGCAGACGCAGACCCAGAACGAGCCGCAGGTGCAGTACATCACCAACACCATCACCAGCCAGAACGTGCAGACCGTCGAGGTGACCCGCACCCAGCAGAACGTGCAGACGGTCACCAAGTGCGCGCAGCAGCAGCAGCCGCAGCCGCAGCGTCCCAGCTACCCGCAGCAGGCGCGCCAGCCGCAGCGCCAGTACTAGACGCTCCCCAGAGGCAGCGTGACGCAGGCATCCGTCAACACTCAGTCCACCATAGTCTAAGTCATTAGGTTAAGGCCGCGAATTCCCATGCTGTGATATTGCTGTATGTGTATTGACCGGAGGTGGCGCGGGAAGTCGTCCGCTGGTCGGACCAGTCCCCGTGACCCTCTGTTGTCTCACCTTGTTCACGCGTTCGTTTGTATGTGTGTGTGGGCGTGTGCGTGTTGTCGCTCACACTCTCCCTCTCGGTTCGGTGACGTCATCACGTACCAGCCGGTCGGAGAAAAGGTAAAGAACAGCTGATTGTCCGCATCATATACTCGTACGTGTATTTATGTATTAATTATTCTTGTACAAATGTTTTGTAATAAAGTAACGTATCTACATCTGACTTTGGCAACACATATAGATGCGCGGAATAACATCAACAGGCCACAGCAACGGGAGAAATCACGGTCACTCCATCATATCGTTCATAAACAGGCGAGATCAGCGACAGAGCGTTAACACACGATTAGCAACCAGCAACAACAGCGGTTAACACCACCAAATAACGCCTAATTAATATGTATAGTTGGGCACCAAAGTGACGCTCAAACAGCTATCACGCAAAACAGCGACACTAAGTTAGTCTCCTTCCCTTTCAGAGTCGTCCACCTGCCGAGCCAAGCTCAGCTGCGCTCATGTGGTGAGGTATGCCAACTATCCGCCTTTCGTAGAAGACCAATCACTCCATTCACACATTAGATTACATTCCACGACGCTTATCACACATTCATAGATCATTACAGGAGCCGACATATGTGAAATAACTCACCCGAATAGCCCTTACGCGGCCATTGAGGAAGTGAGAAAACCACGAGCAGACTCGGCCCGCGCCCGTCTCTCAGACTTTCTCGCCCCGGCGAGCCCGCCTCGGCGGTGACTTTCGCTGCCTGTTATTTACTGCGTCGGCGAGGAAACCGGCTCGCCAGCAGCTCACAGAACACGCTATCAATGGAAGAGCTCGTCTCACGATTATTGAGACGACGACACTGAGGGGAGACCCCAGCAGATCCACAGCATCAGCGACTGCACTGCGCATAAAGCTTCAGATGAACACAAATGGTCTACACGAATAGCTTATCAGTTTATTATCGGATGAGTCACTGGTAGCTCTGGCGAGTGGCGACGAGCATAGGCTTATCCTCACTTTATTGTTCACAGATCACAATTACCTGTCAATTCTCAGCTGATCCTGGATGATCCGCAGTTTATTTCCTACTGATCCCAGCTGATCCCTGTAGGACACGCACTCCATCATGCTTTGACTGCAGACTGTCCCCGAGTCCCATAGTCATGCCGGTAGCGCTGAGAGCAGAGCCGCAGTTCGAATCAGATGATCCGGTAGTCACCGTAACACTGCTCACACGTTGATACTGAAGTCGCGTCCTGCCAGGGTATGCGCCAGTGAGCGCAGGCCCAGGTCGGCCCGCTCGGCCGTCTCGGCAGCGCGGTGGGCAGCCAGCTGCTGCTGTAGCTGCAACTGCTGCTGCAGCAGGCTCTGCAGCTCGGCGGCGCTGCGGCCGCGCCTGCCCAGGTCACCGGCCGGCGGCAGCAGCACCGGTGTCCTGGCGCGGCGCCTGCAGGACGCCGGTCACAGGTCAGAGGGTAGGTTAGGTCTGGTCAGGTCACAGTCACAGCAAACCACAAACCTCGCATTGAGTTTGACACATTCAGATTCATACACTCAACCGAGTGAGAGCAATCAACCGAGAATGTCCACTTAACAAGCTCCGATCAGCTATTCATGCGTTGTAGCATTTTTACATTTCCAACCGCCACGTCAGCCACAAAACACCCAGCCGTATTCCCCGCGAGCCAGCTCCAACAAGGCATGCCAAGCTGGACTATTGTTCACCCCACCACGATATGGTTCCATTAGACATGTATTTCACCAACGGAAGAGCTTATGAATCCGACGTCGTGATTACGCTGGAAAGCGAGACGGATGATTAATATTCGGTAAGTTGTCCGGTGAGCCGAGACGGGCGCTGTATTCGCTATTGCCGAGAGAGTGTGATCAGCCGAAAGTGTTGATTTGATATATTGTCTGAATGAGCTGAACGTGTGTCTGAAACAGCTGGACGTGTTGTTGCACGACCTGCTGAGATGAGCAGTACCTACATAAGAACGGCAAAAACGTCCATCTCGGCACGGCAGCAGCAATGGCGTGAGAGGCACTGATAGGTGTTGACAGCGGCGTCATCACAGTACTGAAAAATCGGCGGTAACAAAAAGCATTTACCAGCATGCACCTTTGATCCACGTCCTTCAATCATTGGCAGTCCTGGACAGCCGCGATTGTCCATGACAGAAGGCCGTGCCTCACGTGTGAAGTGACCCACATTTAACCTCCGCTGACTGGGCACGGCGCCTCTTTAGCTGGCGGCAGTTGGGCAGTGACGCGCTGTAACGCATCAGAGTCCGGCGGCGACGGTCAGGGCGCTGACTCGGCTGGTTTGGGGCCGGTGAGGTAATCCTCCGCCCGCGGCCACTCGTTCCATGGACACTGATTGCACGCCGCTCCGGGCCGGACAAGGACGCGCCGCTGCCGCCGCTCGGCCGCTGTAATTTGGGGGCGGCGGACGACCAATCTGGGCCCGGCAGACGACCCGGCCTCCGGCGAGGTCGCCGCTGCTCCACGGGCGCCGGCTGCCCGCCGCCCCCGGCCGCTGGGCCGAGCGGTCCGCCGGCCACTCACATGGCAATGTAGTTTGGTATGTCGAAATCCAGAGACTCAATAGAAACATCTCTGTGCATCTGATGCAGCGAAATGATGTACCGAAGTCATTATGCGATCTGCCGTGGGCAAAAGAAATACGTGAGTTATATGACAATCGGCCAGGAGTGGCCGCTCGTCGTTACGAAATACAGTGCTCGACGCGAACACTTTCTAAGCACACTATGTCGGCTGGCCGGAGGGACAGTGGCGAGGAGCGACTGTCGAGCACGGCCGCCAGTGCAAACAGCCACCCTGGATGACACACAGTGGACAGACGCCATGGGCCCTCCACCTGAACAGACAGCCGAGCTCTCCACCTAGATAGACAGCGAGGGCCTCCGATAAAACAGACAGGACGGGGACGACTTTGGTTTGGTAGGCGGGGCGACCCCTGTTCCAATATACGTGGGGCTCTGGCTGCGTCTGTTGGCTCGCTGGGAAAGCCTCCCAAAATCCAAGCAGATGACGTTGTTTCAGTTAGTCTTTCCATGTATCGTTTACTGTCGACAGCCTTTTCGAGATACGTCATTCGGTAGTCTTTACTTAGCTGCTAATTTTCCCTGAGCGCTCCACCAAACAGCTTGATCTTTAAAAAAAAAAAAAACTATCCTGCGTGCCCGTTGCGTTTCGGCAATGACCGACGTAATCATCCATCTAAACGGCACCCGACTTCGGTCGAACCACCTCCGTCTCTCAGTAGCAGCTCAGAAAGCCACAGACCACTCCGCAACCGTAACCACTCCGTAAACCATAAAGTCGTGTCCCTTCTCCGCCCACGCGTGTAGCTGCCGACTGTTGCGGTGTTCTCCGTGACACCTCCCCAATAGTGTTTACACACGATTCAGCCAATCGTATTACACAGAGATTCAGCCGCGCGGAGAGGCAGTCATGCCCCAACTTTGTAAGGTCAGCGGCACCGGCCCGTCACGGTCAGATCATGCAGTGATGCTCCCAGAGTGGCGTGATATGACAGCTAAAACCACTGGTTTACCGTGACCAGGCGACCATGAGATGGATAGCCGGGTAGGCCTGCCTGCGTGTCGGCCTGCGTGGGTGTCTATAATTACCACTAATCAGCTAGTACTGAATGAGTAACTGCCGCTTGGTCATCTCATCAAAGCGTGAAGGTCAGTGTGGGCCATCCCGTGGCCCGGGGGCCGGCCGCGGCCCACTCACCTCTTCCGTCGTGCCCGCCGGGAGGAGAGCGACCTTGACCTCAGCTCGGGAGTCACCTGGCCTGACGAGCTCGACGAATCTGCCGCCCGCCGGCGCTCTGCGAATAATAGGGAGGCGTCACATGACGGACGGGGGGGGGGGGGGCTCAACGCCAGGCGGGACAAAGATCAACAGGACACTAGTTAGTGCAGGACGGATGTCGGTGGAACCTCAGGTCACATAAGAGGGAGGTCAACAGAACATTATGTAGGCTACGTAGGAGAGAGGTCAGCAGAACATCGGGTCATGTCAGACAAAGCTTGGTGAATCACCAGGTCACAAAGGACCAAGGTCAACATATTTCTGGGTCACGTAAGGCGAAAATCAATATAACATCCGGTCACGTGAATGAAGGCTGACGTGACATTAATCACGTGGACTCGTTAAGAAACATCTACCGCCTACTGCCCTGGGACCTGTATGGGAGCTTCCCAATGCCTGAAGGGACAGTGAGGTATGGTTCAACGTTAATCACCCAATGAATACGGTATTGCTCGGGAGGGTCGTCCGCGGGATGCGATACATGTCATGCCATGATGTTACTTTAGTACAGAGAAGATCGGCAGGGAAGAGATGAAAGAGAAAGGGAGGACGGACAGACAGTATAGAAAGAGAGAGTAACTGAGTCAGCGGGTGGGTGGGTGAGTGATGAGTGAGTGAGTGAATGAGAGAAAGAGAGAGAGAGAGAAGAGAGAGAGAGAGAGAGAGAGAGAGAGAGAGAGAGAGAGAGAGAGAGAGAGAGAGAGAGAGAGAGAGAGAGAGAGAGAGAGAGAGAGAGAGAGAGAGAGAGAGAGAGAGAGAAGAGAGAGAGAGAGAGAGAGAGATAGAGAGAGAGAGAGAGAGAGAGAGAGAGAGAGAGAGAGAGAGAGAGAGAGAGAGAGAGAGAGAGAGAGAGAGAGAGAGATAGAGAAGAGAGAGAGAGAGAGAGAGGAGAGAGAGAGAGAGAGAGAGAGAGAGAGCGAGAGAGAGAGAGAGAGAGAGAGAGAGAGAGAGAGAGAGAGAGAGAGAGAGAGAGAGAGAGAGAGAGGAGAGAGAGAGAGGAGAGAGAGAGAGAGAGAGA